TTTGATTAAGGTAAGTGAATTAGTTTGCATCAGAATTGAGCTATTTAAAAAAATCTTACTCACTATTCTGATGACAACAATATTTGGCTAAACCTAAATAATTTACATAGAAATTATTATATTTTTATTACGAATTGCTATAAAAGTCTATTACAGAACTTAATTGCTATTCAATAACAGTTAAATTTGGAATAGTTTGTATTGGAATTGTTGTGGTTTTTATCATGAGTTACTGTGAATTATTTTGTCACAGAACTTGCTATTCTGGTTATTACAATATGTGATTAATGTGAGTTAGTTGCATTGATATAAATGTGATTTCTATCATAAGCGCTGAAAAATTCTGTTACAGAACAAACTTACTATTTTGATAGCAACAATAAGTTGTTAAGGTGATTTAGTTTATATTTGAATTATTGTAATTTATATTGCAAGTATTGTTACGGAACTTACTCATTATTTCAGTGATTTCTATCATTAGTACTGTAAAAGTTCTGTTGCAAACCTATTACAGTATTATTCTTTTGACACACAGCATGCAGTTCACTAATGCATGTTAATAGTGTTGTATATACCTTAGTTAATAATATGTAGAATGCGTGATGCACAAAAGTTGATTTTTAAAATGATAAATAGATAATTGAGTTTGACATTATTATGTAGAAGGCTATGAATGTCATAGTCAAGACATAACTTTGGACGTCTTGATTTTGACAATATACTGTATATTTTTATTATAAAGTTTGACATATATAAACGTAAGAGTATATAATCTAATTATGGAAGCATAGCTATAATTGGGAATGATCTGAGAATTTATTAACTTAAAATCGTATATTCTTCAGTTTCATATTCTAACTTGGAATCAAAAGTCAGCGAACTTAAAAATCTTATAAATACAACCCGAGTACGATAAAAACTTTTTGGGGCATGCTCATGCTCAAAGCGAGCGGCATATCGCACTTAATAAGATAATAAGATTTTTGACGAAAATCTTTTCCGTTTTAGTCTAAAAGGAAATGTGGCTGATCACGAGCAAGAGCACAACCAATAAATAAGACTCCCACCGCTAATCATAACCTTTATTAGAAGTGATCTTCTGCATGCCGACGAAAAAAGCTTAGAGAGGTTAATTAATTTTTTTTCCCGAGTTTCATCGGATCACATCTAGTCTTATTTAAATTTACCCATATTCCTCCGAAAATATGCACCCCGAAAGTAAGCATCCCATAATCTTCATATATATCCGAAAATAAGCACCCCGAAAGTAAGCATCCCACAATTTTAATATATGCCCGAAAATAAGTATCTCTTACATAATAGAAATAATATCAAGTCGTTCAGATTATTAATTGGAGATTATACCCGGAAATAAGCACTTCTATAGTAAAAAAGGATGGCTATTTTCGGAGGAATACAGTATCACTGCTATCGTTAATTTTAGAATAATAATAGTAAAATTATTTTTGTTTCGAATTTTGCATACGTATTAAGAAGCTTCAATTAAAAACATTAACTGGTCACGTGTCTACTAAATACGAGCCAGTCAAAAGGCTGAATGAAGACAGATAGACACCGTCTTCAGTTCTGTAGTTATATAGGTTTTTAAAATTATATACATAAAATTTAAATATACCAAAAATTTAATTATACCGATTTGAAATATATTTAAAAAATTTAATATAGTATGTAAAAATTTAAAATCATAAAGTCGTTTAGAATGTAATAATTATTATAATTAAAATATTATTAAGCAAATATAATGAAATTATCATTATATAAAAATTACATAACTATTAGGTGATCAACAGTGTTTCATACATTAGTATAAATTAAGAAATTTTCAATAAAACTGAAGCACGAATTTATTTACCTTTTGTAGCATTTATTTAAGATAGCTTATCAGTCGAAAATAACGAAGTCATTAATATAAGCACTTATTGACATATCATGCTTAAACAAAATTTTTTGAAATGTGACCCATGTTATCTTAAATAGGCACGCAAGGCTTATTAAAATATAACGTTAAAAAAACTTCTACAAATTTGCATCTGAAGATTAAGCTTTTATAAGTTTTATTGTCACCTTTAAAAATTTAAATCAATAGGCAAGTGGGCTAAGTAATGCATTTAAAAAATAAAATTGCAAGATAGTTTCTCGATAAGACATAAAAGTCTGTTTCTCGTGTAATATTTTTAAGGTACGCTTTCTATGCTGATTATTAAATTCAAAAATGTATAGCGTCAAATTTTTTTTTTCTTTCGGGATAAGAAAATCATTGGTTGTTTCTTAGTGATCTCGACAATCTTGTTTATATATAAGCTCATAGACAGAAGTTCGCCTGATTGGCTAATAAATTCAATTTAATTTTACATTATTTATATAGTTTAAAGTACTTTTTAGTAAAAATAAAACTAAGAATAAACAAAAAAAGAATCATAATTAGGGTTGTAGGACTCCACCATTAAAAATAATCTAAATCAATTCTGGTTTTAGAGAAGTTAGCATGGTAATAGCCTATCTTTAAGAAGTCGCTATTATGCTAACTTCTCTAAAACCAGAATTGATTTAGATTATTTTTAATGGTGGAGTCCTACAACCCTAATCTTAGTAGTTTTATTTTTTCTAAAAGGTACTTTAAACTGTATAAACAATGTAAAATTAAATTGAATTTATTAGTCAATCAGACGAACTTCTGTCTATGATATATAAGCCAAGGAAAAATTGTCATCAGGCTTTCAATTATTTTTGTACCGGATACAACCTATTTAATTTATTAGGTCCAGTACAGTATAATTGAAAGCCCGATGACAGGTTTTCCGATTTTAAAATAGCAATCAATTATGATTGGCTAATTTTATATAATCAATACTGATTGGTCAAAAGTAATATTGTATAAATTTCTATTTTTATACGCATAATAACCACAAAATTTCAACCTACATGTCACTCTCGTTATAGTTAAGGTGATCTGCGAAATTTCTTTACTATATTGAGTTTATTAATAAACGTTGAGTAAATCCTCTATAGTAAGAAACCGATTTTCGCTGTACTTATTTAGAGTTCACCAACGAGAGTAACTTGTATTATAAACGTTAAATCGATATAATTTCTTAAATTAAAGAACGGTAAAAATTTTTTTTAGCCAAATTATTGTTTTAATGTATATCATTTTTTGTAAACCATATAAAAAAAGTTGTTGGTTTACACTATACAGATTTTCAGATTTACAAATGACATAGTTCAATTAATAATAACATAAATTGAGAAATGGTGCACCTTTGCTAAAATATATATTTGTCAATTGGAACCAAAACACTGCCGTGAATTTTAACCTGCATGAAGCATTAAAGTTAATCTTAACTCAAAACTGCACTAACCTTAACTGGGACTATTATTTTTGCCGGGAATATTTGTCGGAGAATTGTTGTCAGGTAATTTCTTGATATTTTTATCTCATCTTGAGGCACTAATCTTATAATTGTAAATTTAAAATTTCAATTCCTTAATCGTCCAATGCTACTACCATTAGCTGGATTAACTGAGGATATATGTTTGGCATAGTATTTATAGGATATTATTTCAAGTTACATATCATACAATAATGCATATAGTGTTTAAATCTATATGAGAAATCTGCAGTGCGCCAAGTGAAAATCTATTCCGTAAGCAAGCAAATGTTCATAGAATCTCATGTTACGTATACTTTCTTTATTATGTTTAACAAGCTTTTTCGTATATTGAAATAAAATTTAGCTTTTAAGCACTGAGCATAGTGCGCGGACCAAAGTGTCCGGTTAATGCGACTTTTTTACATAATAAAGAATTATAAATCATGTTCATTGCACATCACATACACTGTACATATAAATAATGTTCTATAAATTTGATCTATGCTATTTGTCACACCTGGTATTTTAATCCATGCAATTGATTCAAAACTTCGGATTTAAGTAGATAAAATTACCTTTTGATATACATAAGGTTTTTACAAATATAGTATCAAAAACATAACTTAAGTAATATGTCGATCATTAACTTTTTTGGATTTTCTGTTCAGAAACCCTTAGGAATAAATAGTAAAATATAGACGAAAGTATAACCGAATCGTTTTATATGCAAACCTAAAGTGATCACGATTGAAGGTTCCAAAAATTTCCTAAAATGGTTAATTCAGTATCGGAACATTTATCTCAATAGGAAATAGTTCAATGAGTTAATTGCAGTGCTAGACGTACAGTACCATTATATTACAAAAAGTAATATGAATTTCAAAATTGTAATTTACCTTACTAAATTGTATTTGTTCGAACTTTAATTACTAATCGAATAATATTTGACCACAAAATTTTTTTCGATTCATACATTCATATTTGGAATATAAGGATAGAAGGATGTTGCACTGATAAAGGTAAAAAGCATTCACGATATCTATTCTTAAATTAGTTGACATGCGTATGTTACAGTATGTTGGTAGATGATTTTTAAATCATATAAAGTAATTGATTACAACCACGAATAGTTTTTCTTGATCAAAACCGATTCCCACCATAGTCACAAGATGTAATAAGGAATTTATGTTCCGATTGTAAATAGTTAAAATAAAAAAATATTATTATTGTGGCGTGACTGTGATAAATACGGAGGTGATTATCACGGGAGCTGACTGTATACAGTTAAATTAACCGCAATAATCCATTTAGTTTCTGGATGAATCTGTGGATCTTAGATGTTTATTATTGAATTCTAAAAAAGGACATGAAATTATTTCGATAAAAACGTTTTTTGAATATGATTAGTTTTCTATATAAACCCTCGTATATTATAAAATTCTTTCTTGTGGGATCGAAAGCTTCAAAATCGTGGTAAAACATTCAATCAATTTTTATAATTGATTCTTCTTGTTAAAAAAGAAAATTCAATTTTCAAAAATATTCTTTATCTATTTATTTTAGCGTTTATACCAACCGATCCAATCATTTCTAATCAATTCAAACAAAATGCGAAAACGGGAAGAACCTTACGTCAAGTTGGCTTGTACTAGTTGTAAGAAGGCGCATGCAAAGTGCTCAGGTCATTCGATATGTGAAAGGTGCATCAATAGAAATTTAATATGCGAATATGAACAATCTGGCAGAAAACGTGGACCTAAATCAAAGAAACAAAGTTGGGAAATTATGATCAATTTAAAATGTTAATTAAACCAGTAAGTTATTCATATTACGCTTAAATTTGTTTTTTCCTTTCTTTTTTGCTTTAATTAATTAATATTCATCTAATTAAACTCTATCAATTTTTATTATTTAGATTATTTACTGCCTGATTTAATTTAAGTTATAAATTA